GATTAAAGAGGTCGTTTTAGAATCTACCGCGCGCGCTTAACTCTTCCAATTTCGATAATTTGCCAAGTTTCTTGGCCGGATACTTTTGTGAAAAGACAAAAGTCGGCGTTACTTGGAATTCAATCGATTCAACTATTAACAAGTAAGTCAATGATTAACTTGCATCATTGTAATTGATTCGCTTTAGCTTTTGTTAAATGACCATATGAAAAATTAAATTTTCATGATAATTATATTTATATATTTGTCTAGTTGTTTCGATTTTATTTTTTTAGTACGTGTAAATGTTTAGGTGCATCGGTATACGCGGATGGCTTCGTAAATAAGAGTTAGGGAAGTGGAAAAAGTTCACTTTGCGTTATGTATGTTTGCCATGGTATTAATTATTTTATTTGCGCAATGAAGTTGAGTATGAGAAATGCACTTAGGAAATCCGCTATCCATACTATTCTGCTCTTCGTTCCTTTTTGTCCAATGCCCCAAACTCATTTCATTTCAATTAGCCTTCATCAAAGCTCGCCAATTAAATTCGCACGAAATTTACATTTCTGCGTAGCCGCGTGTATCACCAATATATGCAATGGCCACTGCTCAACTGTACTTTTAAGAATCGCTCGATGAACTTTGTTGCCTTATTGCGCGTGCGAAGAGAGCGCATATTATATATAGACGCAGAGACTCTGTCAATCTCCCTCACTTAACGAGCCTAAAGCTATCTTTGATTATACGATTCTCTCTCGTTTACATGCTGCGCAAACGACGATTCACACTCGCGCAATAAAAGCATCAGCAACGCCATAAGCATTAAGCCCACACGTACCGCCGATGTATAGGGTTACGAGCGACCAAGAGGGAGGAGGCGTTCTATCGAACGTATTATACAACGCACATGCACGACGAGAGTCGAAGGGGAACAGAGAGAATGGAATCAACGGGGCGAATGTTAAAGCTGTTGCCGAACAAAATGGCTGGCCTAGACGAATGAAGAAGGCTTGCTCGGATTGAATATCGTAAAAACTTTTTCTCTACTTCATTCTGCATGTGATGACAATATATACGTTTTAAATTTTATTTTAACTGACAGTGTTGTCGGATGAATATTTTTTCAATATGTATATCAACCAATCTAATGAATACAAACATATTATGAACATTTGAGTAGATATATATGCTGTATCCAACATATAATTTTATTTAAAAAAGAAATTTACAGTATGTTTATGATTTTCGAGGTGAAATTTGAAGGTTCATTCAATCTATTTATAATTTGTAGTTTGTTGTCATTCTTTTTCTTTGAATGAAAGTATACAGTTTATGATCAGTTGTCGGATTCATGCACGATAAATATGAGTATCCAGTTTTGTTCTCATGTACACACACACACACACATCAAGAGACAATAATAATGTTAAAAAAGAACAAGTTTCCATAGACAATTAAAAATTCTAAAAATAAGGTTTAAAAAAACTCATGTTTCTTCGGTGAAAACGCATGCGCATTTTGCAATCAAAGAAGCCCCACTCGTAATCCATTGTTTGACCATATGCGCTCTATATATATATATATATACTATAGAAGTACACTCCCATCATATGTGCTATGAAATCAAGTTTGCGTTATGCAAAAATGTTTCGATATTTGACATATACATTGAAGATGAAAAAATCATCTTGAATTCGTATTGAAATCAACAACCGATTAAAAAATAGCTCATTGACTCATTGCATATAAAACTAATTTGGTTCAAAATTATATATATGAAGTTATACTTATTTACATAATAATAAAAAACCGTTTGTTTTGTGTTATTTTCTCCACACCAATTGGAGAGAGTTTTGAAAACATTTATTTAGAAAAGCATGGGAGCAATTGGTCGTTATAGCTTTACGTACAAAATTTACTAAACGATATGCTATTAATAGTTTCAGTCTATATCAAAAGAAATAATCATATTTCTAATTTTACTGATTTTTAAAATGATTTCTGCTATTGTTAATTTAGTCATTTATACAATGAAAAAACGCGTATTTTTCAATACGTTTAAACGCAAATATATTTTCTGTCAATAAAATCTATTACTTGTAAATGTGTAATTGTAATATGATACAGTCAAAATCCAGCTAGTTATTTGAAATAGCACATTTTATTTTGTAGTACCAATGCTATATTAAATGTAAACAATTTCGAATTAGTAAATGTGAATCGCTTATCTTCTGAATGCAGATAAAAATTTTTAATTGAACTCGTGATAAAAAAAGACATTAAATACAATATGCTAACGATTGGTAAATATTTCTATTAAAGTTGATGTTGCCTGATTAGAGCTATATGAAACGTATAGAATATCTTATATATTCAGCTAGTTCTTGACACAAGGTAGCGTGGCCGAGCGGTCTAAGGCGCTGGTTTAAGGCACCAGTCTCTTCGGAGGCGTGGGTTCGAATCCCACCGCTGCCAGTTTTTTTATTTTGCTTTTTGAAACATATAAATAACTCACGTATTTCATATTTGTATAACTTGCACAATTTATTTTATTAATAATAATTAATAACATGTAAACGATTAAAATATTTACAGGATATAGTATAGCAGAGACCGATATTGCCAACTACCACTAATGTATTGATTGTAGCTACATTGCAGTTACATTTTCTGCTTTACTTACATTTTATACGTTATGCATTATTTTTCAAATTCGTTATAATTATTTATCGTGTTATAAATCAGATCGCAACTTTTTATCACCACAATTAGATGTAATCCTATCTCACTTTAGGAATTTGAAATGCTTTGTAATTAGGAAGCGTTATATATCTATATATTACAATATTATTTATCCGTTTTGTACAGTGTACAATAATAATTAAATTTCTTATGTCATCTAATAAGATTTTTACATTGCGGCATAACAAAAGAAAAATCATGTGTAAATATTTTTGGAGTATTCGCATTTGTATGTTTAAACTATTGCATTGTAATATCAATTATATAATAAGAGTCTAATACAAATATTTATAAATTTTAAAATCACCTACAATTTTTTTACCTTTGCACTGCTCTGCCCTGTAGTTAATATGTTTATCATACTTGGATATGCACATAACTGTGAATTTGAATTGATAAGTCATTAAAATAAAAATTTTAATTTTAATTTACAAAAATATTAATCTTAAACTCATTCCGGTGTTCTATTTCTAGCTAAATTCTGAAACATTTATACAAACTCATGTTTTTGCATATTGGCAAAATTAGCAGGTATTTCATAATATTGATAACGCAGTATCAGTGATCTTTCGTCTCCCCTTCAATTCACTTAAAGTAGCGTGGACAAGGCTTCAATTACTATCGGCTAAAAAAAGATAGGCACATAACTTCTTAGCAATGACCGAAAAAGAAAAAAAACAGGAATTTTCAAGCAATTTTTGACGCGGTCAACGTCAGACCGTTTAGTGCGAGAAAAGTTGAAACTATCCGTCGACTTTTTCTCCCAAAAGTCACTCCACAGTGGAATTAAAAAAATCAATTAGTTTATTTACAAAATGAAATCTACGATGATTGTCTTGCCAAGGCTTGTCTCAGTCCTATAAAATTTGATGTAAAATAAATAAATGAACATTTAAGCATTGTTATTTTTCATGATTTTATTCATGATTTCATGATTTTTATTATTGAAATATTCAAATGGCAAAATTAAGAATAAGCTTCAATTGATGCCAGGTTCACTGTTTAAAAAGCAATATGTAAACATTTTACTAAACATAAAAGAAACTCAAGTGTAAAGTGATACCAACCATATCTCTTTATTGCTTTCGGTACCTGAAGCTGACAATCGGAACAGTGTTATTTGAAAATAATGTATTGAGAATGAATTTTATTAATGACAATACATTAATGTATTAACATAATGAATAAACATTTTTGTTAAACAATTGAAAAGCTGTAAAGTTTATTTTCGTTGTATTTAGTGATTCTGTAGTGATTTTTGGAGTATTGTCGTCTACAAGTTGAATTATTTTTCAAATGGTTTCGGCTTTTTTGACAAAACTGGAAACGCTTAAAGTAAACGGCATCGAAAACAGCAAAGAAATACGAGTTTTTTCTCTTTTGCGAAAAATTTGCTGTAATTGGCGTAGACAAACCGGTGATAAATGAATGGATGGGCAAAATCTTTTAAGCTTCAACGCATATAAGTCCTGTTTTAATGCATTTTTTTCACAAAGTTATTAACTTCAAAAGTGAGGCGTCTATCTTTATTGAACTGATAGATGGTTTTATCCCCCGCTTGAAAACAATAACACCTAAATATGTATGTGACTCATGCTTGAAATGATAATTTGTTTAATGGAATTATCGAAATCATCGATCACAAAGAATAAATCGAATAGTCTCAGACTTTTTAGCTAATTTTTCATCGGTCTCCTTTATTAAAACTTGCGAGATAGGAAATATGATGGCTGCAAAAATGAAGTTTACTTGTTGAAAGTAACGCACACAATAACTGACAAGAGCATTGCAGTTTATTTGCTGATATGCGCATATTTGACCAGTAATAATCCAAATACGAATACTGCGTCAAGTCTGAAAGTATTGGGAAAAACTTGACGAGAGATAGCCACTGCAGAATGAAGTCTGTAAACGTAGATGAAGCTAGAGGCATATCCCGCGATATAATAGAGAAAAGAATAGACGAGGGAGAAAGACTGACAAAGCCATTCTCGGTTGGACAAGTCCAAGTGAAAATATGAATCACAGTCTCTCGCAATCTGGTTATAAGATTGCGCTGTTTACGCGGTGCAGGGATGTCGAGATTTTGGCAAAAGGCGTTGGCACGGACAGCTTGGATGAGAAATGTTGTCATAGTCGAAAAGCACGTTATCTTAGAGCAGGCCGTAAGTGGCTAGGAATAGTATCTTGCAATCTGTGCGAGCGACGAATGGCGAAATGCTTATCAACTGGCACACAGCTCATTGATAAGCCGCGAGAAACCTTTGCTCGCTACTGATAGAATTGCATCGTGGAAAAAGAAGGCTTATCTGATACATCGGATAGCAGTGGGTCTTACTCCCCAGCGCGCTCGGGTTTTATCTCCGCCTCGCTCGTAGCGCGTGAAGAGGAAACTCGAACGCATTCGTTCTCTCTCTTTCTTTAGTCGCGTCGAGTGCGTGCGTTGGATCAAGCGCCTTTCCCGTGTCTGCGCTAGCACTGACTTTCTTCCGCGACAGAAGAATATGCCGTGACGCTCCGCGACCAATGTCCATAAATGAGTTTTCGTTACGTAAGATTTGTGTGCATTATTAAATTGTGGCGCCGCGGAAAGACTTGTGATTGGCATCGATGCGCAATGACGCCAACGAGTCGTTGCCGTCGCACGTAGTGTGTCCGCGTAATGTCAAGTGCGCGCGTTACGCCGACACGATGATCGACGCGAAGACTTTGCTCTCTTGAACGAAATAAGCTCCAGTCGGTTTATGAAGTGAAGATCATGAAGATCGAGCGCGTGTCCATATGCGAGCGTATACAGCTGTACTTTCTTGCTTTTGCCTATGGATGGTATCTGATTGCAAGGCGCCTTGTCCGATGGGCATGGAATCCTAAACAATTTTTCCTGTTACAACCGAGAGACAAGCCACCTCCTTGCCTGGTTGATAACACTTTTGGCAAGCATTCGTATATTAAGCTTAAGGTAATTGCTCCACATTGTGCGTCATTTTGACGTAGATCCATCGACTATTACGTCTGTCATCGCTGTGATGCTATATTTAGCATAACTCTATTACGAAAATAACAGAAAGATTGAAGCGTTGCAATGCGAGCAGTAAAATAAAACTTCACTTTCGATTAATTACGCGTACTCGAGTACTCGGCAAAACGAAATGTACAATAATGGGCGACTTGAATTCGTGCAATGTGATAATTCCTTTGGATTCCTTTCGTTGAGCGTACCAATTCATTCCGCGTAAATAGGCACATTCAATAGGCTCCTGCAGAATCCATAAAAAATTGCAATTCTCTTTCAAGTATTCCAATACTTGAATTTGACCTCCGATAACAACAGTAATGAAACACATAAGCAAAATTTGGACGTGTGTTATCGCGCATCGAACGATGATGACGCTTATTTTCAATGTAATCAGCTGACGGCTATAGAGGTATATTGCAGATCCTTCAAAATTTATCATAAAAATATTTATTTTAAACCAATGCAGAGCTCTAGGTTATTCGTTAAAATGCAAATTTTGCTTAATAAATAGCCAAAAATTAATTATATCTTATCTATATATGTTTTCAAAATTTTACTTCTGCCGCGTCTATTTTCTAGTTCATCAAATATTGACGACTTACAATACACGAAATAGACAAATTTTAACTTCATACATTGCACTATCTATTTTCGAATTTGAAATCCAAACGGACCGCACAGAAAATAATACAATTAGAGAGCGCATAAAAACCGAACCGGTTTCCCACTGATTCAATAACGCATTAAAAAACCCAATTGTTTTTTCAATCTCCAATTATGAATGACTGGTTTTGTTGCAGGGTATAAAATTTCATTACGTAGAGGCTGGAGACAAGAACAAACCATTGCTATTACTACTACATGGATTTCCAGATTGTTGGTTATCTTGGAGAGAACAAATTCCTGTTCTCTCGCAACATTTTAGGTAAATTTTAACAATATTCCTTGATAATACTAACGAAGACAGTTGGATTTTTTTTCGAGATTGTATTATTTTGCGCACGCTCGTTTTTCAGAATTGTAGCTTTAGATTTGAAAGGATTCGGTGACAGCGACAAACCATTAAATAAAGGTTCATATAGAATCGAGATTCTTCTTGACGAATTAAAACAGTTTATTTTTGCTCTGGGAGCAAAAAGTTGCAGCATTATTGGACACGACTTGGGTGGCCTTCTTGGATGGTACATGGCAGCTCTGCACGATGATGTTTTATATAAATTTGTAGCGATTTCTAGCCCACATCCAAATTTTTATTGGAACTGTATGTCGGACAATACAGTTTTCAGTCGAAAGTAATTTCAGACTATCTCAAATATATATTATTAATAATCATGAAAGGTGTGCATACAAAATTTTAATTTATAATTCGTTGACGTTTCAGATGGTTGCACTTCAGCCGGTTACCTTTCTTACCGGAAATCGATGTTTTAAAAGAAGATCTTTCAGTTATTAACGACACATATAAGCATCTTCACGTAAAAGAAAGAGAATGTGAAAATGACATTGTCGAAGCTTATAAATATGCTTTTAGTAGAAAAGGTATGTCGTGTTAATTAGGGCTGATTTATATACAAGCTTTTGATTCAATGAAAATAATCCTTTGATGTGTTGGCATATCAAATCACATATATTGAATAATTATAGTATAATTCAACGTAAAAAGAGTATAAACATGTACTAGAGCGGCCCTGTGCGAGGTCATTGCTTTATAAAAATTATCTTGCTTATTTTCAGAGGACTGGACCGGACCTATAAATTATTTTAGAAACTTACCTTTCACCCGTTTGGGTACAAGCAACAATCAGCAAATTGCGACCAAAAGTCTTTTAATAGTTGGAAACTCTGATCCTTCGGTTTCTCTAGAAGATATTGTTCACAGTACGGAGTACGTTGAACAATCCAGTGTCAAAGTTGTACAAGGCGCTGGCCACTTTCCACATCAAGAAAAGCCGGAATCAGTCAACGAGGCCATAATTAAATTTCTTGTTGGTGAGTTGTTTGCTGAGCAGTGTTTTATATGTACTATTGTCGCTGTAGATAAATTTAGATTATCTCAAACGAACGTAACGAAATGTAAAACAAAACTAAATTAACTTTCAAGGCCAACCAGCGGTGGAGAAAACAACATCCAGGAGTATTGTGTCTTCGTGGTTAGGCTCTCTAAGCACTACTGTGAAATATGGAAATCAAATGTTTGATGCTGTGCATAAACGGACAAACGGAGTCGTCAATGGTCTGCCGAGTAAAGTGCTTTATCTAGGACAAACAACTGCAACAACGTAGCGACGTACTTTTTACGTAATTGAAATGGAAACAATATTTTTATTTAACTGTGACAGAGACACTTAACAACTTGTTTTCTTAGATTGTGATAGTTGTACTTGCGACATTATAGTTGAAATGCATACTATATATTTGTTCACTGGTATTGTTTTTTTAAGCTGGTCAATTCATAGAATGAATATATCTATTTACGTTACGTGATGAGAGTGAAAATGTACTATATTTGATATGTACTCTTGCCAAGAAATTGATCGTTGCTGTATGTGATTATTAAAAGATAATGGACAAAGACTGTTTAAAATATAAATGTAGTGTATTTAACATTTGATTACAATACTATTTCAACGTTGTACGATCAAGTGAAATTGACTTGTTTGTAATAAATATAATATGCTCACGACTTTTAAGACAGATGTTCATAACATTTCGTCCTTATTATACTAAAAGTTACAAAACTTATTGGAAAATTAGCATAAAAATTGATTGTATAATTGTAAGTATAAGTGGATTTGAGCTACATTGCGCAGGGAAAAATAAATGTTAAAGTATAAAAAATTGGCAATTTGAAACTCAATAAAATATCCACTTTTTTATGTAATAGGAATGAAGGCAATTGCATTTGAAGAGGAATTCATAATAAGAAAAGAAGTTTAGATGATTATCTGTTTTTGTGTAAGTTTTCAAGCGATGCTTTTTCTCGGCATCTTCCTACAAATCATATACAAGTGGTGTTATTAAGCTTGGATGATCATCTATTTACTGTTAAAATAACTTATAATTGTTCGCTGTGCGCACTTACTTTCCAAAGTTTTCACCATCCTCTATCGTCTCCGGCAATTCACAGTTCATAGTCTCTGGTAATAAGAAACACAAGCCAGCTCCAATTACCGGTCCTATACCGAAAAATAGCGGCGGTAACCATGGCTGTACGTTACCCTAAAATCAAAATTATGAAAATGAAATGCATGAGAAGAAGCTTTCCAAATGAATGCGATGTCGAAAGTAAAATAGAAATATATGTGAATGATTACCATAGTAGCGATGTATGGCGCAAGCATACTGGCAACTCTCGCGCAGATGCTACCAGCACCGATACCAACGTTTCTCACGACAGTCGGGAAAACTTCGCTGCTGTATAAATAAACGGTTGGGAATGATATCGACATACCAGCAATGCCAATTGTTGCCAGTGTCACGCGTATCGTTGGATCTTGAACGAACATCGTTATGAGCAACATCGCTCCCGAAACGATATTGCCTCCGATGAGAATACGTAGTCTCGAGTAGCGAGAAATCAAAAACAAAACGATCAGTGTGCCTGGTAGCTCGACAGCCGCTGCAATGTTAGAAATCTTCATTTTTTCCAAACGCAAACAAGTTCAACCAGATAATAATTTCAGAGTAAATGCTTTACTAAATCTCTTGTCAATTTCTCTTTCAAATGAAAATATTACAAATGTACGTTACCACTGACACATCCGATCGAAACGATAACAGTGCATAAAATACATTGGCCAGATAGCAAGACGTTTCAATTACCTGACACAGCAGTGTTGATGAAAATGTTTCCATCGAGTTGGCCAATATATTGCGCCAGACCAAAGAAGGACATGCCACAGACGAACCAATTAACGCAGATGCACAGCGTTTTGACGCACAAATTCGGACTACGGAATAAATGTGTCACATTGAATTTCTTGGTGTTGTCCGTGCGTATTTTCGCTTGATTCCGATGATCTTCAATGGCCAGTGCAACTTTACTTAGCGAGATTCTATTTTTTTCCGCGGCCTTCGTTAATATCACTTCTGCCTCGCTTGTCCTGCCCACCGCAAGTAACCATCGAGGCGATTCGGGAACGATCCTTTTTAATGTATTAAACAATTTCAATGTAAATCTTTATTATAATGACGACTCGGTATGAATATATCCGAATTGCGAATCACTGAACGATTGGTGTGCAAAAAGTCTGAGTCATTGAGCACCGGATTTCTCGTAGGCAAGAATACCTTGCACAATGTTTTTTCTCAGGACAAAGAGCGCCGTTCTAAATGATATATAATAAGAATTCTTTGATCAAGCTTTGATTAGGCATGAATATCCAAGTGAAAGGATGGCGCAATCCAAGAGCTTGAATTTTTGCGCGTTCGCACAGGCGCAATGCGCGTTAATGACACCGTTATCGCATAGCCAGTGAGCCGCGTGTAAGTGAATGGTGATTACAAAGTTGAATGAAAGTACGAGAGGATTCGCTGTAATTGCCATGGCACAATTTGCGACGGCGGTAGCTCGAGCAGATGAAAAAGTGCCGCAGAGTCAATGACTCGCTTGGTTCTTCGGCGCGACGTCACTTTGATAGTTCTATCGGTTTACTTCGGAAAGTTTTTTTTTTTTTTCATTTGTCACGGGCCAATTACTCGCAATATAGCAGTGTCAATTCCAAGCTTTTGTCCGCGGTTTTTAATCTTGGACTGAAATAGCGTACTTATATTGAATTAAATGGGGCTCTATTTTTGTAGTTACTATCATTGTAACATTTATCTTGTTAACATCGAACAACTTGAGACGAAATAGAGTGAGCAACAGATAAAGATTATGGCTAAACTTACCAATAATAGGAAAGTAACAAAATCGGTGGTATCGACACGGCCATTTGAAATCCTGTCCACGTGCGTGTGAGATAAGATACCAAAGGATTCAGTAAAAATCCAAGCAAGAATGGTACGTGGAAGAGAACTGATAAACTTGATCTCCATTTTGGTCCCACGATTTCCATCACTGAAACAAAATATTCTTTTTATATCCAATGCATAAAATAAGTTGGCGAAAGTAGGTCTTATAGAAAGATTAAAACACTTACACAAAACAAAACTGATAAGCATAGTGCCTCCAGTGGCTAAGGCAGAAATGAACTTAAATGTTAAGAACATTTCGTACCAGGGTGAGTATATCGTCAAAAATCCAGTCACTGATTGCAATAGAATTGCAATCATGAGAGGGATTTTTCGTCCGACTCTAGAATAAACAATTATCGATTTTAATTTAACGAGATTTCGAGAAATAGTGATTCGTTTTACCTATCGGACATGGCGCTGAATATCATATTTCCAACTAAAATTCCCAGCATGGTACATGTTTGAGCAAAATTTGCTAATTGCTCCCTATCACACACTAAATCCCACTGAAAAATAACAAACGTTACTATTCAATTTGCTGATCAATTGGACATGATGAGTGAAGAAACAATACAATGAATTGATAGCGATCGGTGCATCTGTACTTTCCTTTCGATTTAATGACATCAGTTTCATTTAAAACTATTCGATTCAACGAGACCGAATTATATTCGATAAAGAAATTTACTCGCGCAAGAGTACTCCAATGAGCGTGTTAAAACAGTCCGTTAACCTGCGTGATGATGGTCTCCTTGAAAATAGTTCTATCGTAGAAAAACTTGGTGCATTTCTCAATAGTGCCATTTCCGACGTCGACTTCGCATTTGCGTTCCAGCGCTTCACTCATGTTGGCAGGTTTCGGATAAGTACAGGTGAAATCAATCGGTGGTGCCAAGAAAACGATCGACAATTGATGCCAAGCTACGGGAAATTTGACCAAAGAAAGTGCAACGGCTATGACGATGTGCCACGGTCCCAGGCTTCCCATTGCCTCTTGCACCAGATCGACTGGACTTTTGTCTGAAATAGGTTTTGACAAAATGCATTGATCTTAAAATTAAATGGAATGTTCTCTTTTATTCTGAACGCCTCGATGGATAAAGTGTCGATTGCTCAAACGAAATCGAAATTTAATTCTAATAACTCGTTTAGTCAAAACGTAGTAGTGCACTTCGAAGAATCGAAGCTTTACGTTATCATCTAATATATTTCCTTATTATTATCAATATTATGCATATACTGGATAGATTTGTGAATCAATGTGTTTACAAGCTCATTTACAAATCTGAGATTACTTGGCATCTCTCTGATATGACTTTGAGCTTGACTAAACAATCGAATGCTGAACACAAACATGTTTTACATATACATTTAGTGCTCGTGAACGACCACATTTTATACTCACGTAGTAGAAATCCTCGAAATAAGAATCCTATAATGTACGCGGAGTATCTCTTGAAATGCATCTGGTGTGAGAGTAATTGATAAAATAAAGGCGTAAGGCCGACATATGTGTAAGTCGCATATTTCGTACAGCTCTAATGAGGCGCGACAGTGCGTTAATGGTAACTACCAGGAACAAGTGTATTCGGAAGGGAAGAAAGAATAAAAATCCATTAAGTCATTTGCGCCAAGTGTACACACCGCAAAAGTCATTAGGGCAGCGGTTTTAGCAAGTGTTCGTAATGATGCATCGACGGCATGTACCACGGTCAAATGCCATGCATTATGCAAATGTAATCCGATGATAAGATGATCTAGAACTCAATATCGATTCATTGAACAGCTTGTGCGTCGTTCGAGCGGTCTCCTCGCTCGACGCGACGCTTTTTAAAAAGGAGATGCGGCTTGGCTATTTAAAAACATCATCGTGCTCGCATATTGCGACAGCAAAATATTATGAAACTTTATGATTGTTCGTTTTCATAAAGTTCGCGAGCTTCGTCGGAATAATTAAAAATTACATTGGAATGAACTGTTTATAATTGTAATATAATTGTAATCAAAATAAAACATCAAAAAGATCTTGAAAGAGCAATTGAAAGTTGCACGAAACGAAATTATATGTCGCTTTTACAAATGAACTATTCACTAGCCCAAATAAAATTGTTTCTGGCATAGGCGTTCCGCAGTCCTCTGTAGCTGGCCAAAAATAGTACACGGCACGCTATTATTATTACAGCCAAGTGTCGACTTAATAATCTGCACAGTAGAAATTATATAGCGGCGCACAGCTCCATGCTTGAATAACAATTTACACGTCAGTGAAACGCGTAAAGAGCAGCAAAGAAATTTAATCCTCGTTTCGTCGACTACGCGCAAATGATGGAATACTAGACACGCGGCCGGCATATAATTAGACTGTCTAGCGTATACGACCTCAAAGGGAATCGCCATTGTACAAGAAACATTTTTACATCTCGATTTTTGTCAATGAAATGAATCTTATTTTCACTTACCTTTCTTCGACTTCTGTTGCATTTTTATTTCTTCGGCAGTGTCCTCCTTGGCGTCAGGCATGATGTTACCGGCCAGACAGCACAGCGCGTGAGATGATATTAGCCGGCGAAGGTGTTGTAGTCGACTGAGCAGTGAGCGCACATCTTGAATACCGGCCCATTACTCGCTCGACACTCAGGCCGATGCTCTAGCGCGCCATGCAGTGCGCAGAAATAAATGTAGGAAGAAAGCAGCTTTCAGGCTCTTTTTCTTTCTGAGCTCATTCGCTTTCGCATGATTCTTGAATTTCAATAATTCCCAAGTTGATTTTACAGTTTCTTTTCAAATACACTTTCGAACAATTTCTTTAATTTTACCAATTCATAGAAGTATGAAATATTACAACTTTTAATTTCATAGAAATAAGTTGTATCAAGTTTTAATGACTTAAAAAAGGGAAGAGATTGACGACAAACTTTATTAAAAACAACTATTTCGTATCGTATATGTACATCATTCGGATTGAATGTTACTCTCTTAACTCAAATCCAGCTTTTAAACATAATAGTGAATAATAGTGAATAATTTAATTCGTCCGATTATAAAATAAAATATTACATTCAATTTTAAATATATGCGCTATCATTCACTTCTTGCAAATACTGCTAACTTGCTGGACGCTGATCGCTTTGGCTGATTTTCTTCAGTGCACTCATCGTCGCTTAGTTTTCTTTTTTTGTTCTCTACTTCAGGTGCTGCTGCAAGTTTTTCTATATTACTATTCGTGTTATTTTTCTTTTGAAGCTCTTCTTTAAAAATATTGTAAGCTAGTTTCATTAGTTCTTTACTTTCTGCTGCTGGGTGTTCATCTTCAAGCCTTTTTCTGTTTTTACTGAGCCAGCTGATGAAAGATTCTTGTTTAGGAGTATCTTTTTTAGTTTCTTTCCTAGTTGGATGAATAGTTACAGGGGTAACCACTCTAGGAGGCTCTTTTTCAATGCTATCTAACCCTGAAAGCCCTGAAGAACAAATATCCATCGGAATAATGAAAATTAATCAAATATACTAGACAGTTATTCATCAAAATTACCTTTCGAAGTAGAAGTATTTCCTTTCTTAGTCCAAGGATTACTTCGTCGTCCGAATGGTTGACTAGGCATTAGAGGCTTTATAATTATATCAGGTACTTTATTATTCGTCGGTACCAACAGAAGTTCATCGTCTTCGACAGTTTCAATGTTGTTAAAAATATCTTCTTGTGTGTCAACGTGTTGGGAAGTTTCTTGCGATTCTTTGCTACAGGCAATTTTTTCTAATTTTGTAGCTAAAATATGTCGATTATGATAACCACAATATCTTACTGCTAATTCTAATACTTTCTGAGGAGCAATTTGCTGGCATATCTCTAATACTCGGTATTCAACATCTTGAAGAATGGCTTCCTATAACAAATGCAAAAATGCAAAACCGGTAAATATGTTCAAAATAATAAATTATTCAAATTAATATTTTGTATCACTTACAGCTATCAGAGCTAACATGGCTTTACTTTCATCAACAGGATTATTTCCTGGACGCCATATTAAAGCTTCATTTTCCGATTTTTTAGACTCGGGATCACACAGAGGTATGGTTAACGTTACTTCGGTGACAATCGGACGTGGCGTTGTTTGTGGATAGTGACTACCCTTACATAATATGCACCGCATAAGTCCTTCCGATTCACTCACACCAATAATAAAGTAATGATCAAATTTGCCTTTTTTCTGCAATTTATTTTTCTCAATTTAATAAAAGTTGGTTTCTTGAGAACATTATTGTAGAAATATTAGATAAAATTTATGAGAGCTTACGTGTCTATTGGTATTACATGCTACTCTCCATAATATAGCTTTTTTATCGTACATATTTATTATTCCTTCCGAATCTAAAACTACAGGAGAACCAATATCGGAGAATCCTACCCACATCAAATGAGATTTAGGAGAAAGTGGAACTCGTAATGTATGACTTTTTAAATTCGGTCCGCAAATTCGAATCCACATTAAGTTTAAAATTTGATCCCCAAAAGCTCCTGGAATATTGTCAATGGTACTATATAAAAACTTGTGTAAAAATTATGAAATGGACAAACGTAAATATCATACCTATACTGGAGTGATATACAATTGCAAGATTATTTCCAAGAGCGTTCATAGCTACGACAGGTCCTGGTAAACTCACAACTTCTCGCTGTGTTCCACCTGGCATAAAAAGTCTTAATGTTCTCGCATTAGTAGCGACAGCAACAAAAGTTGTTCCGGCAGCGACCGCTTGAACTTCCTCTTCATCAGGAAGATCCACTGACCATTCTTTGTTTCCAGTAACTGATTATATAAATATTTTCGTAAATACATTTTAACGAAAAATATTTGTATACAAGCATCTAAAAACAATTTTATTAATACCTTGAAGAGCTACAACAACTAGTTTGCTTGGTTTATCGTCAATACGAGGTGCTGCAAGTACTAAAGCTTCTGCAGATAAAGCTGCCATTGTATGACCTACGTAATTACTGATATGCACAGAATGATGTACCGTCACATCATGAAAGTTCACTTCAATATTATCACCATCGTCGTCTTCTGAATTGAAACGCATAATTATTCCTACATCATTCCACATCTGAAATCAATCAACAATTAATCATTCGTCCTATGTGACAATAATGTGAGTATGACAATATATTTATCAACCATATAACGTGATATAAGATGATCTGGAGTAGAACCAGGCTGAAATGGTTCTTGAAGATTTATTTCTGGTAAAACTCGTTTTTCTACATACTTGTTTTCGGAAGTAATAGAGGATATACTTTTCTGATCGTCGTTAACAACTGATGCTTTTATTTTACTCAAAGATATAACGTTATCATCATCATCATCATCATCTTCATCAAACATAAAATCATCCTTAACAACATGCCCATTAGCTGGTTTTATGTCAAAAAATTCAGAATTTGCTATATTCTTGGGATAAGAAAAAAAATAAAAATTCCTAATTACTGCCTGATCAGTTTAAATCAAAGTTAGATGATGTATATTATACATACAACATCAATGCACCCTAACTGTCCAAGAGCATCACAATATGCTATTTCATTGGGTTCTACAGGATTCCAAGCCATTGAAGTAATTTTAGCATTAGTTTTATGTTCAACATATCCAAGTGGCTCTTTACTTTCAAAATTCCAAACTATTACTTCACCATACACGGTACTTGCTGCTAAGAATGTACCACACTCAGAAAATCTACAGATACTTATATCCTAAAATAATTTAATGATTAATAATAATAGTAAAAAATCAAATTATTATACAGCAAATTATTTGATCTTACATTTTTAATATCAGTAGATTTTAATCTAAAACTTTCTTTCCATGTTCCTCTTTCTACAATTATAACTTCTTTTCCATGAGGATAAGCAAGATATTTTCCACTTTTAGTCTCAAATGAAGGTGTACCATAAGCTTTAGCAGTAAAAAATGAATTAGCTTTTGGAACAATGTTATTCCAAGTGTAAATTGATTTTTTATCTTTAATGCTCCATATTCTAATAGTCCCATCACCACTTGAAGAAGCCTAAATATTTTATAATAAAATGAAATAACCGATACTATTCATAAAAATTGGTAATTTGTATATAATTACCAAAAATTCATCTCTTGGATCAAGTGACAATCCCAATATTGGAGCTTCATGCCCTAACAGTTCAAAGTTTTCATTTGTATCAACATTTGAAACTTGAATTCGCATATCACTATTAATATAAAATTAATCAAAATGAAATAAAAAAATATAACACAAAAATTTTTTTTGTAATATAGAGTCAATATTACCAGCCACCAGAAACAATTAAACTACTTTCTTTAGCAGTTGCTAATGCACAAACAGTAGCTGCAAATCTTGTAACAATGCCCTCTTTGTCAAGTTGTGGATGATTTAGAATTTGTACAGTATTATTATCATTCCCAGCATAAACTTTTTCTTTCTATTGAAAAATGTATCGATGTACCAGTTTATTATAAATAATAAAACAACTTCAACGGAAGATATGTTATTATATAAAATACTTTTGCAACTACTGTTGTAGCAGTTTCAGCAATACAACTTGCTGATGGGTCATCGTCCATTAAATTTACCCAGGCTCGTACATCTCCATCTGTTCCACAAGTAATGAGTCCTCCTCTGAAAATTGTTTATAATTTTATGTGAGTATGTATTCACTACTTAATGTAATGTAACACTGATAAATGAAACATTTACTTTTCTCCTGTGAAATAACAAACATCAGTATGTCCTTCTGGATGGGCATAACGTGTAGGTTTTAAAACAAGTGACATTTTTAAGCAACTTATAATGTATTTGAACTTTAAGGACTAAACAAAATAAAAATGCCTTTTGTAACACTAAAAATTCTAGCTCAAGAGTGTAACTAACAATTATTTTTTCTTTGTATACGTTCAAAGTTATATTTCAGTAAATATCTGTCATAACTTCTATGCATTAACTACTGCAACATATCATGTATCGCAAATAAATAGTGGCATTTTTTATTCACAAATAAAAAACTTTAAACTCAAAAAATTAAATGCCTGTAACTGTTACTGACAATTGGTTAAAATACATTTTCCCGCGCTATTTCTTGTGGCAGGTTATACGATATAATTTACGATTTGCAGCGACGCATGCGCATATCCTTTAAAATCTATATATCGATCACGCATGCGTATTGGCTTATCGGCGTCTCAATGAGAGACCCACCGCCATCTAGTAAAGTAAAGTAAAGTAAAGTTTAAAATCTATAAATACATTAGGTATAATTTTTATCTTGCAAACTACTCTAAAATTTTAAGAGTTTGTACAGAAAAATTCTGACACTTCCAAAGTGACATGAATTCTAACACATGACTAAACTATTGATTACACATTACACGACTACATATATATGCGCAACAACCGGCTGAAAATCACAAAGTGTTTAGTTATATCTTATAATGCCATCTTATATAGAAAAGTCACTATGTTTTGCCCCATATGATCAAAACGATATAGTTATTTTATTAATTTTAGAGGGTCGTATTAGGTTATGCTCAATTAAAACGGTTTGCTCGTTTTGATCATACAAAGCAAAACTAACATAATGACTTTTCTATATAAGGTAGTATTATAAGACATAACTAAACATTTTTAGTAATTTTTATGCATCTGAACCTGTCTGAACGCGCATATGTGGCCATACCTTTATAAATCCCTACAAAACTAGTCTGTGCACGGATATCTGCGTAGTAGTCTATATAGTCATGTGTCAGAATTTATGTCATTTTGGATATTCGAAATATCAAAATTGTTCTGTAAGCACCCTTAGTCCATGATTTATCTACAAAGTTAAGATAACTATTTCATTTCATGATTATCTTGGATATCTCATCTTGGTAGAGTCTCGTGCGAGGTGCCGCTACCGCTTTTACTCTAACCAGTTGTGAGTGAAAATACTACCGACTTGTTGTTTATAACGAATAAAATGTATTCAATTTGTAAAACGACTCACCCCGCTACGGGGGTTGAGCATGCAATATTTTGTAATTTTTTTAATAAAGCTGAGAAAAGTCTTGTGGTGGCCGGTGCAAACATTATACGTGTCTTCCGTTTGATTCCTGATGTTGATCCAACGAAAAAAGAGAAATTTACAGGTATTTAATTTGATTTAAAATTTTATGGTCAAGCTTAAATTGATTTTTTAAATATAATTAATAAGTAATTAAAACAACTTTACACTTGTTTTTAAAACTGTAAGAATTACCTCAGAAATAAATTTCGCAAAGTCAATATGTTTCTTAAACATGCCATTTTTTTTAAATATTGATTTATGAAAAACCTAATCTAAATTCGTTTGGATTTTAATAATTTTCCCATTTTATTTATAGAATCACGTCCACCAAAAATGAGACTTGAATGTCTCACTCAATATACTTTACATGGAAATATTATGTCAATGCAAGCAGTACAACTCATTGGTTCTTCTAGAGATTCTCTGCTTCTCAGCTTTAGGGAAGCTAAATTATCTGTTGTAGAATATGAACCTGAAATTCATAATTTAAGAACTGTGTCTTTGCATTATTTTGAAGAAGAAGAGATTAAAGTAAGTACAGAAGAATTCTTTATAAGTGAAATGAACTTCGGATGAAAGCTGTAATTCTGAATAATACTTTATATTTATTTTCTAGGATGGTTGGACAAATCATCATCATATACCAATCGTTAGAGTAGATCCCGAAGGAAGATGTGCAGTTATGTTAATTTATGGAAGAAAATTGGTAGTTTTACCATTTCGCAAGGATCCTATCCTAGATGAAGGAGATTTTTCAGAAACAATTCCGAAATCATCTCATAAAACTCCTATATTGTCATCTTATATGATTGTTTTAAAAACTCTAGAAGAAAAGATGGATAACATCATTGATTTACAGTTCTTGCATGGATATTATGAACCAACTTTACTCATTCTTTATGAACCAGTGAAAACATTTCCAGGGTAACTAATTATAGAATAAACTGGTCATTTAATTTATAGAAAACTAAAAATATTTTTACAATCATTTCAAATTTTTTCAGACGAATAGCAGTACGTCAAGATACATGCGCTATGGTTGCTATTTCTTTAAACATCCAACAAAAAGTTCATCCAATAATTTGGTCAGTTTCAAATTTGCCATTTGATTGTTGCCAAGCAGTACCAGTGAAAAAGCCTCTTGGAGGAACATTAATAATGGCTATAAATTCATTAATTTATTTGAATCAAAGTATTCCACCTTATGGAGTATCACTAAATAGTTTGACTGAATTATGTACAAATTTTCCTTTGAGTATGTATTGTATATAAGATATAATATAATTTTTCAATGTTAATATTAATTTTTGTCTTTTAGAAGCTCAAGATGGTATCAAAATAAGTTTAGAAGGATCTCAAGTAGCATTTATATCTTCTGATCGTTTAGTTATATCTTTGAAAACTGGAGAACTGTATGTATTATCTCTCTTTGCGGACAGTATGAGATCTGTAAGAGGGTTTCATTTTGACAAAGCTGCAGCTAGTGTATTGACTTCTTGTGTATGTATAAATATTATTCAATTGAAATTATCTAATCATTTTTCATTTTTCGTTAACATTGTGTTTGATCATAGGTTTGTGTATGTGAAGATAATTATCTATTTCTTGGTTCTCGACTTGGTAATTCTTTACTCTTAAGATTTACTGAGAATGAAACCGAAAACTTAAATGATGTAAGTGCTTTGGAAATGGCAATAAATAATAATAGCGAAGAACCAACGGCTAAAAAAGTGAGGCAAGATTATTTGGAAGATTGGATGGCATCCGATGTATGTGAAATTAAAGATCCTGAAGAATTAGAAGTGTATGGTAATGAAACACAGACATCTATTCAAATCACATCATATATCTTTGAGGTAAAAAATTAATATGCCATTCACTTTACAAAGTATGTTAATGCTTGAAAAATACTAAATTTTGCATTACAAACTAGGTATGTGATAGTTTATTAAATATTGGACCATGTGGAAATATTTCGATGGGTGAACCTGCATTTGTGTCAGAAGAATTTGTGCATAATTCTGACTTAGATGTGGAATTAGTAACAACTTCTGGTTATGGAAAAAATGGAGCTCTTTGTATTCTTCAACGTTCCATTCGGCCTCAGGTACATTTTTTAATTAATTATCTTATTATTTGTAACCGAAAATCATTTTAATTTTTACTATCTACAATATTATTATTATTTGATTATTAGGTTGTTACCACATTTGATTTACCTGGTTATGAGAACATTTGGACTGTAATTCACTCAAGTACTGAGAATAGAGAAAAATCAGAAACTGAAGGAACGCACGGATTTTTAATCTTGACTCAAGATGATTCAACGATGGTAAATGTTTTACGCAAAGAAAATGAAATAATAAATTTTTCTGCAAAGTTCTATAAACCGTTTGATGGTTTTTATAGGTACTTCAAACTGGTAATGAAATTAACGAAGTACCTGATGCTGACAATGGTTTCAGCACTCAAGGCACCACAATATTTGCCGGAAATCTGGGTTCAAATCGGTATATTATTCAAGTTACACAAGCAGGTGTGAGGTTGTTACAAGGTTTACAGCAAGTAAGCAGAATTTAATGTAGTTATAAATGAATTACGTTCATATTGATATAAATGTTGACTTATTAACAATTTAGGTACAACATATGCCCATGGATTTAGGATGTCCTATCGTGCATGCAAGTTGTGCAGATCCTTATGTTACTCTGCTATCTGAAGATGGTCAAGTAATACTTTTAACATTAAGAGAAGGAAGATCATCGGCTCGATTACACGCTCAAGCTGTTAATTTATTGTTTGTAAGTAAAAAAATGTAGAAAATAAGTTTTTCGTTATATTTTTTTAAGAACTTTTTTTTAAATTATGCTACTTTGCAGCGTCCACAAATAGAAGCTGTATGTGCTTACAGAGACGTTAGTGGTTTATTTACGTCAATTTTACCCGAAGATCTTGATGAGGAAGGAATAAATAACGATAACTCAGATGAACCACAAATAATTGAAAATATTGAAAACGAAGATGACCTATTATATGGAGATAATTCAGCATTCCAAATGCCGGCTCCTCCTCCACCAAAAGTTCAAGAACCTCTGACAAAAAAGCCTCCTTGGTAAATAATTTCCTCAAGCGTATATAATATTGTTTTTTAATAATATATAAAGTGCTAATACTTACCTGTAGGTGGCAACAGTATTTACAAGAGATCAAACCATCATACTGGCTGTTTGTCTACAGAGACAGTGGAACTTTGGAGGTCTATTCATTACCAGATTTTCGTTTATCATATTTAATAAAGAATTTCGGGTTTGGTCAATGTGTTTTACACGATAGTATGGAATTCACAACTGTGCAAAGTTCCTCATCAACTGAGCCTGTAAATCGCGAGTTGCAGGTAAAATTTGTGTAGAGTTACAATCAAATTAATTTTCTTTCTATTAATAAGACTTTTATTAATAATGTATTAATTTTCAGGTTCGAGAAATTGCCATGGTTGCTTTAGGACATCATGGAAATAGACCAATGCTTCTAGTACGCCTTGATAATGACTTACAGGTTTATCAAGTATATAGGTATCCAAAAGGCTATTTAAAAATACGTTTTAAAAAAATGGAACATAATTTTACCGTAGGATTTTCAAGGTATATAACGATCATTGAAAGTTTGTTATCATTATATTGTTTTTGATTTTTTGTGTTTCTCTTTAAAATTCGTAGAGTAGGTCCAAAAGATGAAGGTATGCCAAGACAATGCGAAATTACCAGACTATGCATGATTAGATATTTTAGCAACATTGCTGGTTACAATGGAGTGTTTATCTGTGGCGATTATCCTCAATGGTTATTTTTGACTGGAAGAGGAGAATTGAGAGCACATCCAATGAATATTGATGGACCTGTTAAATCATTTGCGCCATTCAACAATGTGAATTGTGACAAGGGTTTCTTGTACTTCAATAGAAAAGTAATCGGAATAATTAATTATAATTTTAATTTAATAATTTTAAGAAGTTTTATTGATTTAAACATATTCTTTAGGATGAACTGAGAATTTGTGTTTTACCGACACATTTATCATACGACGCTCCATGGCCAGTTAGAAAAGTACCTCTACGCTGTACACCACACTTTGTTACATATCATCTTGAAAGTAAGACTTATTGTGTTGTAACTAGTATATCAGAGCCTCTTAAAAGTTATTACAAATTCAATGGAGAGGATAAGGTATTGAACTTTTTTCTATTGATTTTTGATTTATTTTTTTAATGGACGTTACTAAAAGTATTTGACTTATTGAAACTATATAACTTATTGAAATTGTTTGTAGGAATTTACAGAAGAAGAGCGAAATGAACGATTTTTATACCCAAATCAAGAGCAATTTAGTATATCATTATTTTCTCCAATTTCTTGGGACACTATTCCAAACAGTAAAATTGATTTGGATCAGTGGGAGCATGTTACTTGTTTAAAAAATGTTTCTTTAGCATATGAAGGAACTAGATCAGGCTTAAAGGGGTACATTGTTATTGGTACAAACTATAATTATGGAGAAGATATTACCAGCAGAGGCAGAGTGAGAACTTTTGTAGTTATATTTTGATGTATTTAGAAAAAATTATTTTTCACATACCTACGTATTTTTTACAGATATTTATTTTTGACATTATTGAAGTTGTACCTGAACCTGGGCAACCTTTGACCAAAAACAGATTCAAACAAATTTATGCTAAAGAACAGAAAGGTCCTGTTAGTGCTATAACTCAGGTTTCAGGATTTTTAGTTTCTGCTATAGGTCAAAAGGTGAGAAAATATTGTATTCAAATTGCTAGATTGTTCTGAATTTACATTAACGATTGCTTATTTATTGACAGATTTATATTTGGCAATTGAAAGACAATGACTTAGTAGGAGTTGCCTTCATAGACACACAAATTTATGTCTGCCAAATGTTGAGTATCAAAAGTTTGATTCTTGTTGCTGATGTATTCAAATCTGTAAGTTTATTAAGATTCCAACCAGAATACAAAACTCTTTCTCTTGTTAGCAGAGTAAGTTGAAGAATCAGTTTGTTATAAGAAAATAAATATTATTTTAAGATATTTTTATTTTAATATTTTTTTTATTTTTCTAGGATTTTAGAACTACAGAGATATATGCAATTGAATATTTAATACAAAACAATGAGTTAGGATTTATAGTAGCTGATGGAGAAAGTAATATTTCTATCTTCTCTTATCAGCCAGAATCTTCTCAAAGTTTAGGAGGACAAAAGTTAATTAGAAAAGCAGATATACATCTAGGTCAAAAAGTTAATACATTTTTCCGTATAAAATCTAAAACTAGTGACTCAGCGAATCCAACGAAACACTTCGCCGGTGCTGATAAAAGACATGTTACTATGTATGGTAAGATGAAAAAATTTAATAACTATTCTGTATCAAAAATACGGGTAAAAAATTAATCTGTTTCTTAATATTTAGCAACATTAGATGGAAGTCTTGGATATATTCTTCCAGTGCCGGAAAAAACATATCGGCGATTACTTATGTTACAAAATTTATTAGTGAGCCACCTTTACCATGTTGCAGGATTAAATCCTAAAGCCTTCAGGTATGCGAAATACATTTTCACGACGTTTTAATTTCTTATGTGAAAGAACTCGTATGATTTACAAATGTTATTTATTGCAGGACGTACACAAGCTCAGTCAGAATGCAAGGTAATCCTGCTAGAGGAATTATCGATGGAGACCTCGTCTCAAAATATCTTGATCTATCTATGAATGAAAAATTCGAAATTGCCAAGAAAATCGGAACAGGTTCCCAAGAAATTATTGACGATATGCATGAAATTTATAAGCAAACTTCACATTTTTGAAAAATGTATATGTAATAAATAATATTCCATTTTGTAAATAAACTGAAATATAATTTAATGTCATATTTTTAAGTAAATACAACGTTTTTAATAAATTACTTGTAATTACATTATTTCCATTATTTTTATTTGGTAGAAAAAAATTACGTCAAGTATTCTTTTGTTCGTCTTCTATTGCAATAATATTGAATTAAGACTATAACTAGTTTTTATTTAAAACTTTGGTTAATATGGTCCGAAATTAAAAATAAATAATAATACTCTTCAGAAATAAAATTATGTCTGAACCAGAAGGTAAGATTTTTAATTTCATTTATCAAACACAATTTATCAAAAATCGTTGTCAGTTTTATAAACAAATTCGATTTTTATAAAATATAATGTAAAAATGATGAAAAATTCAATTATATCCACGCAAAACTATTAAAGTGGATCTTGTAAGAGTAATTTATTGCCATAGTAATATTGATTTATCAACGTACTTTTATGAAACTAAGAGTAATTTTTATAAATATATTTTTAATCGTTATATTACATTTGAGAGTTTTATTTGTAAATTTTTTTTGTTTCAAGTGGAGGCGTCACAATTACAAAAACGACTCATTGAGGCTTTTGATGTATTTGATAATGCAAAAAGTCATCAAGTCGATGTCAGAGAACTTGGCACAATCATAAGATCAGTTGGTTTGTCTACTATTTTTTAACATTTCAATTTTTTTTAGTTTTTCTATTTGTTGACAAATAATAATAATAATAATAATATCAAAATTGAAGGTTGTGTTATTACTGAAACAGAGCTTCAAGAAATTCAAGTAGAAGTTGAAGATGTAGAAAATAACTGCGTTCCTCAAGCCCGTTTTGTTGAATATATGTGTAAGGCAATTAGTGAACAAAAGTAAGCAGATTTTTTAAAACTTATTATTTACACATTAATTCAAAAGTGAAGCTTTTAAGAAATATTAAAGTTTAACTAATGGACAATTTATCAGATATAAACCAGCTGATCCAGAAGATCTGTTACAAGCTTTTCAAGTCTTAGATCCGGAAAATCGAGGCTACATTTTAAAAACCGATTTAGAAAAGGCAATGATGGAAATTGGCGAGCCATTCTCAGAACATGAAGTAAATGAAATGATGTCTGTCGCTTGTGATCCTCAGACAAACAAAGTTAATTATGAACTCTATATTAACTTATTAATTGTGAGTATAAATTTTAAATATTAATTTACCTATACATCACAAAATTAGCGTAATGCTAAAATATATTTCTAAAGCTAAATTTGATGTAGAAAATTGCTGACAATGAAAATATTTTCTTGATGAATGATCAAGAATAAAAATTTGTCAATATATATCATAAAAAGATTTCAAAAAGTAATCTGTCTTTCTGCCATGGTAAAGGAAAAGTTTGAAAGTTTTTAAAAATTAAATTCTTTATTAAACATGGTATACTGTCTACAAAAACGTTTGCCCCAAAAAAATATCAAAAAGTAATGTTGATAATTGTTAATTACTCAACTTTAATAAAGTTTCTCAACATAAAAAACTAAATTTTAATTTTCATAAATCTTATCACAGCTTTGAAAAAACTGGCAGTTCACTCTTTGTTGCTAATGCTGATGCTGCACTAATGAAGTCTTCACTTTGTAACATAGCTTGATTCCTCATGTTCTGAAAAAAGTTATGCTTAATTAGTAAATTACTATGATTATTTTAAAGTATATTACATAATTTGTCACTTTGCAGATAGAGTGACCGATTTTTAAGACCATATACATACAATATGGTTCAATCCTTCATCAATTGTATGGTCTCTTGAATAATTTAAGCTAAGCTTGATTCCTTGTACAGCAACTGGACTTTTTGAAGCAATTTGCTCAGCTACATCAAAAGCTTTTTTCATCAAACTAAAAATGTATTGATTTTATTCAATATTATTATATTACAAATGTAAGTGTATGAAATTAACTATCATTAACATCAACAGACCTCTCCTGATTATTAGCAACATGACTAACAAAACCAACTTGTAATGCTTCTGGAGCTAACATTTTTCTGCCAGTAAATGCGAGTTCTTTAATGAGACTATCAGAACCAATGATTTTTGGTAATCTTTGTAATGTTCCAACATCTGCAGCCATTCCTAAATCAACTTCTTTTATTTGAAACCAAGCATCTGATGTACAGTATCGAATATCCGTTGAACAAATCATGTCCACAGCTCCTCCTATACAAGCTCCATGGATAGCAGCTATCACAGGCTTAGCACACTGAAGTATAACCATTGGTACTATTTTAATCAAACAATAAATAATTTTTACTATTTAAACTTTAATACTGAATCATAAATGCCTTTTCTATTGCAGTAAATGAATCTTGATAACGTTTAATGCTCTTTCCTATAACTTTACATTTTCTAGCAACGTCAGTTTCATCAGCTATATTTTGGAAAAGTTTCATAGCATCCATCAAATCAATTCCTACAATCAAATTCATAAATTGAAAATATATAGAATTGCATTGTTATATTAATCATGAAATTATGAATTACCTGAACAAAAACTTTTACCAGATCCAGATAAGACTATTACTCTGCAATCAGCCTCAGATGAAAGATCATTGAAACATTCTCCAATTTCTCTAAAAAGTGTTATAAAATATTAAAATTGTGGTTTGATTTATAGTTTATTATGTTAGCTTAACTTACATCCACATTAGATCATTAAGAGCATTCAATTTTTCTGGCCTATTTAATTGAACATGAAATATTGCTGGAGAATGTTGTTTGATAGATAAAGTGTTGTAGCTCTTGCTTTCCATTATTGTTGTTACTTTATTTACAGTACTTCTTATGTTTTTCAAGCCTTATAAACGGTAAATTTATTTATCATGAAATAATAATATTTAATTTTCAAATTAAAAATTTGAAAATAATTAAAATTATTATTAAAATTCACATTAAAGTAATAATTGCTGATTCATTGATTATCAAGCAATCATTGTCGTCGTTATAATACTCAACATACTTATTCATGCACTGAATTAATAGAAAAATTAGTAAGATTAATAAATTATACCTCCTAAATTTCTTGATATAATATTGAGCATATTATAATATTTGATTGAAAATATGTGAAATATAATCTGAATAAATAAAGAAATGAAAATTAGTGTATACGTATGTATATATATATGTATGTATATATATATATATATATACTTATTTATTTACAAAAACAGCAAATGAGTGAAGACTGATATAAAGTGCAGCGTTAATATAGGCGATCGAAAAGTAATGTAGAAATCGCTTGTTACCGATCCAATATGGAAGGCGGAAAGTAAGTGATTTTAAATTGTAACATTCAGTAAGATAGATCCAAATAAATATTTAATTTTTATAAATAATGGATGTTACTTCGTAGTAGAAATTTCTCTACTAGATATTATGGACCTCATGGGTATTACTAAAAAAACTTTGGTGGATGGAATTGTTTTAAATACAAACCATGTACTTTTACGTAAGGTATCGGACAGGTAGAATAATTAATTTAATAGATATATTTATTTTTTTACTTGCAAAGTTCGTATATTTGCGACAATTCATTTGAAATTAGAATGGATATTAAAGTGAAAATTGATAATAGTAAGGTCATCAAATCTTAATACTCCTGTCCTGGGAAAAGGTGTCAAATGCCAAATGCAAGCATATTTTTGCGAGTCATTAATAGGTTTGCCAAAAATATTATTTATTTACTTTAAGTTTTTATGTAGTTTGTGAATGTTTGTGTGTTTATTTTATTAATATTTAACAGAAAAGATATTAATAAATTAGATATACTTATAGTTGCACAGTCCTTAAACAAAAATGATCAAAGTTATCTGCAAAAGTATATAAAATATAAAAGTATTATTTAATAATAGAAAATATAGAGTATCCGGCCGTGTTTGTTATGATTTAGTTAGCAAGAAATCTTTCCAAAATGTTGCCAAAATATTTTTGTAGAAACATCACAACTTTTCCGGCAACTGGCAAAAATGTTGCAGTAATGTTTTCGAAATATCCAAATGTCTACTTTTGTTTGAAGCCTAGTAATGTTTCCAAAAATGTTTCCAAAACATTGTAGGAATGTTTGGCTTCAAACAAAGACGGACATTTAGACATTTCGTAAATATTGGCAACATTTTAGAAACAATTCTTGCTGCGGCTTGGAAGCTTTTTACTTACATAAGAAACAAACATTCTAATTAGGATAATATAAGATAAAAAAATGCTTTCTTTAGTGAGTTTAAGGTTAATACTAACACAAAACACGATATTTAAAATAAATGGATAAAATTTTTGGCAAACTTATTAATGTATAGGAGAGTTGCAAAATGTGCTTGCATTTGCTAACTTCACCATCAGGACAGGCAGAACATAAAAATTTGATAACCTTAATACTATTATCAATTTTCATAATAACATTTATTACAATTTGAAATGAGTTGTCGCAAATATGCGAGCTTTGCAGATAAACACTAAATATATCGAATTATTGTATACCTTCGCGATACCATATAAATAATAAGTATACGATTTGTATTTAAAACAATTTCTCCATCTGCCAAAGGTTTTTTAGTATTACCCATAGTAATACCCATAATATCAAATAGAGAAATTTCTACTACCAAACCAACATCCATTGCTTATAAAAATTAAATGAAACTTGTCTGGATCTTATTCAATGTTGTTATAATTTAAAATTACTTTCTATTTTCCATATTGAATCGATAACAAGCGATTTCTATGTTACCTTTCGATCGTCCATATATATATATACATGCGCGCGCGCGTGTGTGTGTACCAGTAATTGAACTTTGACCGTGCAGCGAGCTAAAACGATATTCAGCTGGTAAAACAGTTTTGTAGAATGCACTAGAACATCTTACGCGCGTCAAACACCGTCTTGTTGCTATTATTTTCTGTGTTCCCTTAATACTTCCTTCGAATAATATTATTTGAAAATGCAGAAGCTATTAACGAGACAAAGCAGATTGTTTTTTCATATGGTCAATGTCATTATTTCATATTATATTGTGTTAATCAGTGTTGATAGTGATAAATGAGAAAAGTTTACATAACTGCTATATCTCAACAAGAACCGTCTATATAAAATTTTGATGAATAATTGTTAAATTCAATTGGGCGTGTACTTCAAATTTTGTTGTTATATACAGCATTGATTTGTAGATATTTTGCAATGCCAAAGTTAATTGAATTATAAATTTTCTTTTAGAAACATAAACATTTGCTTGAAAGATAAAATAATGATTATTATTTTACTTTTTTAGGTGATAAGTTAAATTCTAATTCATTGTTGGTTCATGTTATGATTTGGGCACGATGTTATACTCAACAAGTTCGATTGGTTCTTGACTTATCGAAAAAGACTATAAACAGCAAAGAAAGAGGAATATTATTTATTAAATACAATTTGAGGTAATAAATGATTAATGAATTTAGTGACCTAAAAGTATTTATTTACTCAGTCAGGGAATAAAAATACCAGCACTTTCAATTTTTCTAAACAATCATTAATTAATCTATATTTGGTATATTTTGATACTTACATATAAATAATCTGTAGGTATAATAGTTTAAATTGAATTTAGTTACTTTGTTATAAATATTTGAATTATTTGAAAAGACTGAAGGTGCTTATATTTAATAATGATTAAAAATCAATGACCAATAGTTTATCCTAGTTTGAATCAAGCTTCCTCAGTCTACAAAATATTGAATAGAAAAATGGCTTCAATATCAAGTGAAATTAGAAATGAAGCAAATAAACCACAAAATAAATTATCCTTGGAAAAGTCACCTTATTTATTACAACATGCAAAAAATCCAGTAGATTGGTATCCATGGGGTGAAGAAGCTCTACAGAAAGCTAGAAGAGAGGATAAATTAATTTTTTTATCAGTTGGTTATTCAACATGTCACTGGTGTCATGTAATGGAAAGAGAATCTTTTGAAAATCCTCTCATTGCTGAAATAATGAACAAATATTTTGTAAATATAAAAGTAGATAGAGAAGAAAGGCCAGATATTGATAGGGTTTATATGACATTTATTCAGGTAAGATATTTTTTTTTATCCAAAAGTTTTAAATTGTCAATTAAGTAAAATGTATTAAAATGTATTATCCTTCTATTGCAGACAATTTCAGGTCATGGAGGATGGCCAATGAGTGTCTTTTTGACACCAGATTTAACTCCCATTACTGGTGGAACTTATTTCCCACCACATGACAAATATGGTCAACCAGGCTTTCCACAAATCTTGGAGAGTATTGCTCACAAGGTAAATAGTCTACTAGTCAATTGAAAGTTTGTTAAGCAAATTTATTTATATAAATGTAATAATATTATTTAATGAAAGTGGATCAATAACAAACAGTCGTTCTTAAAATCTGGCTCAAAAATTTTAGAAGTACTAAAAGAAGCAGCAAGATCAAAAACTCAAATTGAGGTGAATATAAAATTTAAAAAAAAATATATTTTTCATGAACTGTTTTCATGAACTAAAAAACTTAATACTTTAAAAACCTTTTGCAGAACAATCCTCCGCCAATTGATTGTGCCAGTACTTGTGTTAAACAATTAATAAATGGATATGACAATAAGTTTGGAGGATTTTCTGGAGCACCAAAGTTTCCCCAACCTGTTAATTTTAATTTACTATTTCTAATGTATGCAAGAGATCCAGAAGGAGAACTTGGTAAACAAAGCTTAAATATGTGCATACATACTTTAAGAAAAATGGCTAATGGTGGTATTCATGATCATGTTGGTCAGGTAAACACTATATTTGTTTTTGTTTAGTTAATTATCTTTGCATTAATTAAATTATTTTTTTAACGATTTTTTTATTAATAATTTTTTAAACAAACCATTTTCTTAAATAATAAACTTTTATAGTCAACATCTGTAAAATATCTTTATAAATTCAATTCAATTATTATAGGGATTTGCAAGATACTCTGTCGATGGAAAGTGGCATGTTCCACATTTTGAAAAAATGTTGTATGACCAAGGACAACTTCTCCAATCATATTCGGATGCTTACCTAGCAACAAAAGATCCATTTTTTGCTAAAATAACCAATGATATTGTAACTTACGTTACTCGTGATTTACTGCATCCTGTATGTAATTATATTTGCTTATTATTCTTCATAAATATAAACATCATAACATTAAAAAATTAATTACTTTTCAGGAAGGAGGATTTTATAGCGCAGAGGATGCCGATTCTTTACCAACACATGATGCTTTAGCTAAAAAAGAAGGTGCTTTTTATGTATGGACATATGAAGAAATAGAATCTCTTTTAACTAAAATTATATCGGAAAACGAGGGTGTAACTATGTTTGATATATTTTGTTTCCACTTTAATGTGCAACCCGAAGGAAATGTGAAAAGACAACAAGTATGTATACCATTGTGAATTGATGTTATTTTCCTTATTTTTTTTTCGTTATTTAATCATTTTATCATTTTATCAATAATAGGATCCACATGGGGAGTTAACACAACAAAACGTTTTGATAGTTTTTGGAAGCGTAGACGAAACTGCACAACATTTCAAACTCAGCGTTGACACTGTAGAAGACTGTATTAAAGAGTCTCTCAGTATACTTTTTGAAGAGCGTAAAAAGAGGCCACGTCCTCATTTAGATGATAAAATTGTTACCGCTTGGAATGGTTGGCATATATTCAAAATTTCATTGACAATAATGTCATAAAAAATTTGTTAATTCATGTAATTATAATATCAAAACGTTTTATAGGCTTAATGATAAGTGGTTTGTCAAGAGCAGCTTCAGCTTTTGACAATCTCCAATATGCAGAATATGCTGAGAAAACCGCAAAATTTATTGAAAAATATCTGTACGACGACAAAAACCATCTGCTTCTACGTAGTTGCTATCGTGGTGAAAGGGATTCAATTACGCAGCCTAAAGTACCTATAAAAGGATTTCAAGTTGATTATGCTTTCGTTATCCGAGGGCTTCTCGATTTATACGAAGTCACCTTTGATCCACATTGGTTGGAGTTTGCTGAGAAGTTACAAGATATTCAAGATAGTCTATTTTTAGATAGTGAAAACGGCGGCTATTTTTCTACGACTAAGGACGATCATTCCGTGATTTTACGCCTCAAAGAAGGTTATACAATTTTCAAAATTTTTTGCATTAGTTAATATCATAAAATATTGCTATGGATGTAATTGCATTTGTTTAATATTTCATAATTGTTGTCTAAATCGAACATTTTTTTTGATAAATCGTGAATGTATATTGAAATATTAAGTAACAGAAAATCGATAAAAAGTTACTTAAGATGTTATTATGGAGGACATTATTTCGTTATTAAATAGGCATTAAAAATAATATACATAATATTGAGATAGATATATTTTGATTTATTTTTCAGAACAAGATGGCGCTGAACCTTCCGGAAATTCTGTTGCTTGTTGCAATTTAATAAAGCTCTCTTCATTTTTAGATCGTTCAGATTTTTTAGATAAAGCCACTAAATTCCTTAGTTCTATGAGAGAAATCTTGACCGAACTACCTTTTAGTTGTCCAGAATTAGTTATTTCTTTGGTTAATCTTGTGGACTCTACAACTCAAGTATTATTTTTATTTATTCCTTATTGACAGATTTGTTTTATTATCCGTTTGGTACTCAAAGCTTAATACTTTTTTCAGGTATACATTGTAGGTAAAAAAGATTCCGAAGATACAAAAAGATTATTAAGAGTAGTACAAGAGAGGCTAACATCTGGACGAGTAGTTATATTAGTTGATGGCACTGGATTAGAAAATATTTTATATCGCAAAAACCAAATTATCAATAAAATGAAACAGCAGAATAGTCGTGCAACTGCATACGTTTGTCATCACCACGTATGTTCTCTGCCAGTTACAGATCCAGATCAACTTGCGTCATTATTCGATAAGAAGAGACAGTGAGTAGAAATGTAATATTAGAATGGTTGACTATTATGATAATTACTTATTTTTAGTAAAAATTAATTGTGATATCATCTAAAGTTGATAATTTTGAAAGAGTTTTGGGCTATGAATCCGTAATCATGTTTCTCGATTTTTTTATAGTAATACATGGTAGTTTTCCCAGAGTAAAAATGCTCTTATACAAATATTTATGATCAAATCAGTATTTGTTTTTAATGGATTCACTTGAATTGTATATTAGCTATGATTTTTATATAATTATGTACAGATAAAACGAAATTTATATGTTGAAATACTTCACTCCACGCAAAAGGGCCGTTTAATTTTATCAATCAAGTATAGATTTGTAGATGAGCTGATTCCTTATGTGATGTATTGAATTACTTTGAATCACTTGTAAATTTGAGCATGTATTTATGGTGATGTAAGTATAATCATGATTTTTAAAGATTTTGAAGATGTTTTTAGTAGAAATAAAATTGGTAAACTTTAAGCATCGCAAAAATTTCAAAGTGCATATATATTATTAAGTGATAATATAGTATTAAAATGAAATTTTTATGTAAAAATGGACATAAACAATAAAAGTAAAAAAAAAGATAAATAAATGTCATGGTACTTTAATTGCATCTCCTTTATTTATCTACCTTTCTGATAAATAAGGTTTCTTGATATTTATCTGGTATTTAATGTCAATAAATAAAATGTAACTACATATCTTTTTTTTCCGACAGAAGCAAGATAGGAAAAGCTTCTGTATTTCGCGCAAACTCGTAGTCTCTGTTTCCGCGAGTTCTCAAGAGCATGTCCCGCTGCGATTACCGTTCTTGAGTACAGCTATAATACATATGCACACACAGGGCCACTGCTGCAACGAACACCCATGCGAAAGCAAGAAAGAGCATTGCGAGCCGCACGTACATGAGCTTTCGCGCAATAATTACGCTCTGACGAGAATAGACTCGGACACAACAGTGTGTGCAAGTAGTTACGTGTGCAGGTATGCGCGCAAGCGTGTGTGTATTATACACGCGCTGCAAAAACTCTTATGTGCCCAGCAGCAGCAGCAGCAGCAGCTTTTACATCTTTTCTCGCGGCAGAATGCGTCTACGCGTCATAAAGCTCGCAAACGTCTATAAAAATCTATTTATTTCGAATGATTGGCTTTTACGATAAGGCAAAATTATAATCAAGGCATTATAGGAAATTATGTTTTGCTGCGACAGAGCTTAACTTTTATATTATATTATCTATTTTCGAGATCACTTTTTCTTTTATTCATGCAGCGGCTTGTCGGTATAACTACGATAGATTCACTTTTTCATCCTAAATTTAGTTTAGATTTTCTTGAAATAAAATATTTCAAACTTTATTTCACTTTGAACTTTGCCTTCTTTATCGCGATAGGAACGAAGGAACATATTTTCCTTTTATCTTGCGGTATGGAAAGAATCTTTCGTGTCTGACAATTCATTAACGAATCTTTTTCAGTTTGCAATTTTTTTTCACTTTAATGCAGATGTGAAAATGACGAAAAGAAATTTGAATGTAAAATGTGTTGACCTACTATAATTAATGTTTCTCGGAAGGAAATTGAAACGACGCTGGGACGCATTTCAAGTTTTTCTCATTTCCTGTTAGTTCACGAATTAAGCATTTTTCTTGAAAACAAGTCATTAAACACGTTAATACCGGAAGAGCGAAAAAGAGGGGCGAACAACCATAGACCTCGTTTTTCGTCTTAAAACAATAAACGCGACCCAAGCTCGAGGTCATACTGACGCTCTCTCGCATTTTTTCCACTGCCTCTTCTTGAAATCTACATACGCTCAAACAACAGAACTGACTCGTGCTAGCTAGATGTGCCATTCGAGTTTTGCTCTGAAATTGAATTTCAATTTGTGCGAGTCTTTGCGAAATTGATTTCGCGTTCGGCACGAATAAACGAATGACTTTTTTCCTTTTCCGAGTGCCGTGTAATACCTATTGTTACTCCAGCCGAGGCAATATTCAGCTAGCTCACCGAACACAATATCACTTTTTTTCAATTTATTTCATAGCTCCGTTTTTACGTCCGTCTTTTTTCCGCAGCTGCTCAATTTTTATTTATTTATGTTTTTTTCTTTTTTCAGATATTTTCTAAAGCCTGCGCCTAGTTTCAAATTGCGGATTTTAATGATTAATAAAGACAATTAATAGAATTTCTCAATAATTTACGGCTGAAATAACGTAATAAGTGTAATAAATGGACACAGCTAAAATATTTTAAGCGCTTATGAACTAAAACAACATGAGCTACGTACACAAACAGTGATTATTCGAAAAAAGAAGAAAAACAGGATAAAAAAAGTTGAAAGGTGGATAACAAGCAGCCGTCAAAAAGAGTAAAAAAGAGCCAAGGGTCAGACAGATAGAGTGCGAGGTCGACACTGAGATAGCACGTATGTGTACTTTACTTGCGCGCCACCGAGTCGCGGGCGTGCGGGTTAATCGTGAATTCCTTTCTAGACCGCTCAAAAATAGCCTTTCCGGAGCTTGCACACGCGCACGCGAACGGCCGTGGCTCATTTTTCTTTTAATCTTCGATCGCCTTATAATTTCCACTATCAAATCTGTGCGAAAGTTAGGTGTCGAGCTCAACGCGCATTATTTAATAAATCGGCTACGGATCGTCGAATGTTTGGAATGCTTTGGTGGCTTATTCAATGGAGTGGAGTATGGATCAATCGCTGAGTGATTTTCTTGTACAACGAAAAATTTCTAAAAATATGTCGTCGTCAATTACTCCAGAAAGTATACATCTCACAAGCAACTTTTTATACTCGTTGCACTACATTACTAGTTTATTCGTCTTCATTATTTTAAGAAGTTCTCAATGCTCTACCGACTTTATAGTTTTTGATTCGAAAGAAAAGAATATTGATGAATATTCAAATGCTTCCCGCTTTCTATATGCGAATATTCAGATAGAAACTTGTGATCGCCCTTAAAATGAGTAGAATACGACTGTGAGCGCGCGTCGACCAACTCGAAGCAAAATCTGAGCGTTAGGAAAAGCGTAATACAATTTTAAGCGAATCAGTCCAATGTTTGACGCTCTAACGATTCTGTAAGCTGGATGAGAATCTCGCGATCGAACTCGCATTTCGCGTTTTCCATTTTCATTTGGCAGCTACGTAGTTAAGAATTGGGGCTCTATTATAAAACACAAGGTCGTGAAGCAGTTTTCGGAAAATGTCCGTGAATATGTGAATACGCGAAAGCACGTTTTAATTTTGCAAGCGTTCACTGTTATAGAGCGTGGAAAGTGCGCTGAAGTATTTTGCGAACGGATAAAAGGACAAAAGCTCTGAAATTGCCAATTAAAATATCACGCGTGCGAACGCAAATGGGCTAACAGTGGATTGCGAGGAGCCCTAGCAATTAATTAGACTAGTGCGAAATCGAAAGGCCGAGTGAAAAAGTAACGAGGAATGACGCAATGCCGAGCGAGCCGGGCTCTGGGTTTTCGCGGAAAAGCACTGCTAAGGAGAAGGTGGCTGCGGCTGGGCAGGAGTAGCCCTCGAGCCTGGGCCAGCGGCACTGCCGATCGCGCGCTCGCCTGGCTGCACCACCGTCGGCAGCGGCGCGGCGCCGAAGGAGGGCCGAAGCGAAAAGCTGTAGGAGAGGAGCGTCGAAGCGCATGCGTTCGCGTCCTTAGCATCGGGCGGGCCGCGCGCAGCTGGCCGCCACTGGCGCAAAGGGGAGACTGCGAGCAGCTGCGAGAGCTCAGTCAGTCACCGGTCGACGCTGCGCGGGGCAGCCCGTCGTCGTGGTCGTGGTGTCGTCGTGGTGTCGTCGTCGTGTCGTCGTGTCGTCGTGGTGTCGTCGTGGTCGTGGCAAGTCGCGCGCGAGCGGCCGCTCTCTTCGAACGACCACTGCGAGCGGGCCGAGCGGGCCGAGCGGGCCAAGCAGCCGACAAGGGACACGAGACCGAGCGACGGCGCCGGCGACGTCGAATGCAGAGTCGCGCGTGATATTATGAGTGCCTCCGGCGGACCGCGAATCCTTTGCCTCCTTGTCGCCAGCTCGAACTGAACGAGAAAAGGAAAACAAGCGAAAACGAGGGCAGCGACGTAGCCGCGAAGCATGTCGTTGCACTATTACGGGCCAGCTGGTGGTGGTGCTAGTGCTGGAGGCGGGGGCGGCGGTGGTGCTGGTGCTTATCGTTATCGCTCGGCCACGAGGATGCACCCCGAGGCCATGGGCTCCGACAGCGATGTCAATGAGCTCAGTGACCTCGAGAACGACGAGGAGGCCGACGAGGAGGACGACGAGGACAATGAGGACGACGAAGACGACGAGGACGACGACGAGGACGAGGATGACGACGAGGACGACGAGGACGACGAGCCCGAACTGCCCTACCCGGGCTTTATTCCCGTGGCACTGCGTTATCTCGAACAGACCACCAGGCCGCGCAACTGGTGTCTCGCGCTCATCACCAATCCATATCCTTTTTCAATATCTTTTCTCTCGCTCTCGCTCTCTATTTTTTCTGTCTTACGGCTCTTCCTTTACGTAGACGCCAGCTTTTCTGGCTTGACTTTTCAATTCCAAATGATTTCGCGATTCAATGCAAAGATTTGGCAGCAGCGCAATTCAATTAGTAATTCGATTGGAATGCGGCAGGAAAACTCGTTCGCTCTCGTTTCTATTATAGTAACGCCGTTTTCCACAATTACGAACTAACTGGACTAATTGAATAACGATAGACCGGATTTGATCAAATTTATTATAGGAAAATCGTTATTTTACGTGTACTGCAAAAAAGAGGAGCAAAAACGAAACGTAAAGAACAGGCAAACGAATGCGAAGCTTGAATGAAACAAGAAAAGAACGGATGCAACAAATATACGCAGGACGATGTAAAGAAAACGTAGGCGATGTAAAGAAGCTAAGAGCTTGAAAAAATATGCATCCTGACCTCGTTCCACTAAGACGAGCGGGCACGAAAAATTTCACAGCGAAACATGCGCAGTAAGCGTACTATGAAACATGCTGTACTCTGCGGCCAATTGGCACTTAATAAATGGCAGAGATTTAATGGATGCGAAGGGAAGAGCTTGTTCATTTTTCTCGTATTAGTTCCAACCAATACGATTTTGCTACAATCGGTAATTTTATTCCGAAGAAGATCACGTGGATTTTAGCAGGGACAACCGCAGCCCCCCCCCCCCTCCCTCTCTCTCTTTCTCGCTGACCCTCGAATTCTCATTCCCGAGAACCATTGCTTTTGAAATAAGACAATACTCGAAGCACGTAAAACGATCGGCTTGGAAACAAGCATTAATTGACTGCTCCCGATCTATTGTGATTCGCGCGTGTCGATATATCACATCCGTAAACATTATTTTAACGGGAATCTCTCGACTGGTCTCTCTAGCTTCTATTACGCTTTATAATTGTCTCTGAAAACCTTTTTATAGATGCATTTAGTTTCATTCACTAATTAGTTTGTTCACAAGTAGCAACAAATAGAATGAGCCTTCACAAAAGAATTTATAACTTGAATCTTGAAGAATCTGTAAAAGTTTCTTTATGCAATCGGTTTCGAGCCATAAGTCACTAGAGTCACAAGCATCTGACATTCTGGAAAACAAACGCTTACCACAGTTTAGGCAAAAAATTAATTCAGTGCACGTAGCCTTTTTCCTCGGTCGACCGTTTATATTCTTATTTCAGCGCGGACGAAGAATGAGTTTATTCAGTAAAAACAAACGGATACCCGCGCGCGCAACACTATTCATCTCTACGCTCGCATTTTTTTACTTTCGCTGCTATTTCGTTTCATACCAGCAGTGGATATTCGGCAACAATTCTTCTTTGAACTCCAACGAGGTATGAAATGGAAATAAACCGAAGGAATTTCCTTCCTGCTCTTTCTCCATTCAAGTCTGACTGCGGGAAATCTTTCTAGATATGTGGTATCAGACAATAAGCAGCGTTTAAAGATTATTAGTTGGAAAAGAAAAGACGATTGTGAGGTAGAAAAAACCACGTGAAATAGAGAGAGAGAGAGAGAGAGAGAGAGAGGAGAGAGAGAGAGAGAGAGAGAGAGAGAGAGAGAGAGAGAGAGAGAGAGAGAGAGAGAGAAGAGAGAGAGAGGGAAAAGCGTAAATCCGCGGGTTCGAATCTCAAGTACCAACGCCATTCTAAAGCAATTCATCGCACACGCGTCGAGGCTTGCTATTGAATCCTTCTCGTGTATAGCTCGCGGGCGAATTTCGCGATACGGCTGATCGCGAATTCAATTCGTTCGCGGCGCCCCCACCGCGTCGAGATGACGACTCGAGATTCCTGCAACGGATTTTCCACGAGGTAGCTCTTTTTTTTTCTTCTCACGTGCAGCACTTTTATATTTTTCTAGAAAGGAAGGCAAATGCGTTTGATATGTAGACTGTACGGTAAGGGATTATATGGCGTTCGCGATTGATTTTCCCTCCCATCTACTTTGGAAACCCGAGGAAAGAGCAAAAGAGCGCAACGAAATGCGACACGTGCCTGTAATGGAAGAGAAGAAGTGCTTTAGTTCTGTTTTGGGCTATTTTTTGAACAAACGCTTTTTTCAAGACTGGAGGATACTTTCGATTTCAGTTTAAAAAAAATGTTGGACTAAAAAATCTTAAAAAAGCTATAAAGTATAATTGACAATTTACATATCCAGTCAATGCCCTTCTTACTTATCTCTAGTTACGTAGCAACATGGTAGCGTTTGTATTTTGCAAAATTCGGTATATTGTACAGCTATCCCACAAATCAAGAAAAATAATATTATTAAGTGAATTAGTTTATTTGATAGTCGTGCTGTCATCGAATAAAAGGATGGCTCGATACATTTGTGACATCTAGTTTTGAAAGTAGGTCATGCTATGCCTCTCTTCTTAAATTGTTTCGGTCCAAGGTTCATCTACATTCTACTTTCAAAATAATTGAGTATTTTTTTGAAATAAAACTTGGATTTTTTTCTCGTTCGGTTCGTCTACGCGTCAGTAATCGACAGGGCCAGATAATACCAGCTTTGCATCTATGAATTCATTTAAATTTTAATTCATTGAATGATAAATCAGGTTACTGTGATAATCGTTCATTGATGAAATTTAGGTGTTTACCAGCGAAGATTAAGAAAGAGCAAATCGAAAATCACACTCGCTGATAGTTGAACGAAGAAAACTTGGTAGAAGGCCCTTGATCACGAAAAATGCCATGGCCCGAAGTAAAAACATTAAAAGTTTGGACGAATTGGACGAATATCCACGCGAAACATAAGTAAAGCGCAGCAATCTCGAGGCTTTCGAAAAGTTTATAGGTTTAGCCCTGGTGGCAACTTGCAACGCATCATCTATCCTAAGAAAAAATGAAAGATAGAGGCAGCGAATTCGCATCGGTAGGTGCCGTTTAAAGCTCTCACAGGTGGATAAAACTAATGTCAGGGCCCCGTTCCTTATTCTTTCGGAGAGGGTCGTGAGATTTTCACGTGTACATCTTGGTCGCGTTAATTAGAAAGACCGCTTAGCCGTTACAGGCCTTGCGCCGAAAAATCAATTATACAGCCCTGCCCTCCCACGGCCCATTATTAATCGCGAGCACTTTGTGACCCGTGACTTGTGACCCGAGCGACGTAACACGCGCCAGGTGTGAAATCATCGTCGTTATACATGGACGTACCTGACCCACGCGAGCGTGCCCGTGGATATTTGTTTGCTATATCCGAAAGCGCAGGTCGTTATGTGGTCGCTCATGCATCGATGAATGCGCGCGAAAAGCGAGTTATTTCAATTTATCGCTTGGCCTTTCCCACACATTTTACTTTAGCGCACAACATTGATACACGTAGCGGTAATACAGTCGCTCGCTGCTATATAATTCATGAACAACTGCTCATCTTAAGGAGCCGTTTGAGTACTACTTGCATTTGTTATTCCGCTAAGCACTTTACTTTGCAGGGCTTGCGCGCATATCGAACGACTACTCTTAGCAGCTGTAAAATGAAGCTTCGGTTAATCGATTTGCTGGCCCTAAACTCATTTTAATTAATCATTGTAAGAGCGTATGCGTAGACGGATTTGCGAGATCCCTGTGGATTACAGAGTTCTCGCAACAAAAAACTATCGAACATGAACACTTTGTGAAGCTATCGCTTAGTTTCTAAAAATCGGTATTCTGGAAGCTGAAACAAAGAAAGCGTTGATATGCCGAGATAAGAGTAATAATCCCATTGAAAGTGCTCATCCAGGCACGTCCTCGAATGGTCGTGGGTCGTTGCGGGCACGCGCGTCTTAATTAAGCCTCGCCGCGCCGACATCTCCGGCTCCCTTTTCTGCGTCGACAGCTGCGGATGGCCACAAGATACAGCAGCTATCCAGCCTTCTCCACCGGCGCTCGCGCGCGTACACACGGGCGCGAGGGTTCGCAAAAGTTTTCTAGGTCAGAGCGCGCCGCCGCCGCCGCCGCCGCCGCCGCTCCCGGGCGAGAACTCTCTCCTCTCTCTCTCGTCTCTCTCCTCTCTCTCTCTCTCATCTCTCTCTCTCTCTCTCCTCTCTCTCTCCTCTCTCTCTCTCTCTCTCTCTCTCTCTCTCTCTCTCTCTCTCCTTCCGT